AGTTGGAGTATCACTGATGAGTGAGTCTGTGTTGTACTTATTAATAAATAAATATCAGTTGATCCTCTGCTGTATAAACGAGACACTCCTTTAGTGGGTGAAGAATTATCTATAAAATATATTAATTATTATTATTTATTGTACATATACGTTATAAGCATGTACCTGTACTTGTGGGTGTGGCTAATAATAATTCATAATTAATAATGACATCACCAGTGAAAGAACCAGTTGAATATTCTAAAAAAATTAAAAAAAAATAATAATAATAATAATACTGTCTCCTCCCCTCTTACTTTCATCACAGTATACTCCAGTATATTCATCCGTACATGTACATGTAAACCCCTCCCACTCTCCGATACAGGTTCCACTGTTGTTACAAGGGGTCCGGTTACAATTAATATCTGTAAATTGACAATCCTGTTCCAGACCCTCTGCCAGTAGGGGGGCCGAGAAATCAAGTACATGTCCATTTATATCAACGTTCTTTATGCAACCTTGGAAATTACGTATTGAGGGTAATGTGGGCGGGGCTAACGAGACATATTGTGGGAGGAGCCTCCCTAGTGTGATGGGTGTGGTCAAATCAAGAAAACTAGGGAAAAAATAATAATAACAATAATAATAATAATAATAATAATAATAATAATAATAATAATAATAATAATAATAATAATAATGAAATTCTTACTGATTGTTGTGTGTCAGGTTTGATATTCTTGTCTTCTTTTGCTGATACTTGTTGTCAAATCTTGCAACTTTCAACTGCATAAACTATAAAAATAAACATGTAATTAAATAATTATTTAATAAATAATTTATCTCAGCCCCGCCCCCTTACATTAATATCGTATTCAAATGTTACCGTAATCCATTCCTTCACATTAATAGGAAACTCATTAACAATCAATTGATATTCATAGCCACCAAACGAGACACTAGTCATTAAACTATTATTAGTAACGTATATCAATAAACTATCATTGAATCCGACATCAAAATGGCCGCCATACAGTAACACTCCTTCTGATTCATTAGTAATAATTTCAAAACTGATGGACCCACTTTTCACAAGGGGTAGTGACGGAAATAAAACATGAGATTGTCCATTGAAAGTTGCTGTTGTTTGTTCACAGTTTGGACCATCGTGCCCTAACGGACATGAACAATGGTGGCCAGGATCCTGTGGTATGCAGCGTCCTCCGTTTAAACAAGGGGACAGGTTACAATCATCAACACACTCTGGTTTGCCTCTATCATTAATAACACATCTATAATCAGTAGGACATGCCACTCTGTCACAAAGACTTGCTTCATTACAATCACTGCAAGGTTCTGAGCAGCTATCACCTGTAAAACCAGAAAAACATGTACAAGTACTCCGCCCCTTAGTAACAAGGCCTAGATATGACAAATGAGGAGAAGTAACGAAAGATTTTGATAAAGAGAATTCCACAGTCCCTGAACACAGGCCGTTATTAGCACAGGGTTCTTTAGAGCAATCGTTAACGTCCACACTAACAATGTTAATATTATTAATTCTCTCCTTATTACTGTGTATAAAGTGTTGGACCAGATCAGGTTCTATGCAGCTGCTGTCATTGTAACAAACTGATATCGTTAATAATGTACCAGCTGGTATAACGGGCCCCACTGCTGGTTTAATATCAATGTATGATACTTGTATCAGCTGATTCAGCTCTTGTGTTAGCAGTGACGTTAAAGTTGTGTTAAAATCAATCAAGAAATCAGATAAGAACGTTAACGGTGTTATCTCAGACAGCAGTAGTGTGAATGAGTTATCCTGTACATGAGAACTGATGTCATTAATAATGATACTAATGAGAGTTCTTGTATGGACTATTGTCCCATTATACAGCACATCAGTGATACCAACAGGTAGGCTGTATTGTCCTGGTGTTAGTTTGACACTGGTACTAGTGATCAACCCGTCATTAATAGTAATCTCATCACTGACTCCTCCAGTAACAGTAAGAGTATAATTATTAACAATATCACTGTCGTTTGTGAAGACTGCCTCATTTAAGAGTGATCCCAAATCCCCTTCCAATAGATTAATAATAATATACTGGACACCTCCTCTAGGACCATTATCATTAACATCAGTGACTCTTATCAATACCTGAGTAGAGCCAATCAGATTAGGGGTCCCCCCGTCACTAGCTGTAACCATGACAACATAAGAATCCCTTTCCTCCCTGTCTAGTGGTGATAGGAGGGACAGGTTCCCCGTGATACTGTCAATACTGAAGAGTGTTCTATTGTTGATATCGACTCCTCCTGATGCTATACTGAATCTGATTTGGTTTGGATCAGTGACAGTATCAGCATCAATCACTCTCATTCTTCCCAGTATCACATTATCAATATTCTCCCTTACACTGTACGAGTGGTTCATGCAGTTGTGGGTGTGGTCATGAGAGCAGAGAAAGGCAGGTGGATTATCATTGACGTCTGTTACTGTAATTTCAATGACAGTTTGAGCAGTTTGTGGTGATAATGGTCTCGGCTCAATCGCTAACAATATCAAAGTGTAGTTCCTTACTCTCTCAAAGTCCAGCCCTCGTCCTCCAATCCTGATCTTACCTGTTCTCTCGTTAACACTGAAATCACTCACTGATCCTTTGAATCTGTACGTTAGGTTAGAATCAGCAGGATCAAGATCAGAGGCAGTGATAGTACCAACGACACTTCCTGATGGTTCATCCTCGGGTTTGGTGAAGGTATATAGTGGTCTATTGAAAGTTGGTAAGTGTTCGTTCTGATCTAAGACGTGAATATTAATGAGTACTGAGGTTTTTAAAGCCGGGATACCTCCATCAGTAGCAGTCAGTACTAGACTATACAGTTCAACACTTTCACTGTTTAACTCTCCATTCACTTTAAGCAATAGTCCAGTGGGTGTGGCCTGTAACAGGAATGACTCTTTACCAGTTCCAGCGATATCATAACTCAATTGGGCATTAACCCCCTCATCATCATCAGTGACAGTGAAGGAGTGAATGACAGTATCAACTGATGCATTCTCATACACAAACACTGTGAATGATGAATCAGCAAATAGAGGAGGATTATCATTAATGTCAGTGATGAATACGGTTACGTTGGTACTTGAATGTAGACTGAGTTCTTCTCCACTGTCCCTTGCTGTTACTAGTATATTGAAGAGTTCGTTTCTTTCTCTGTCTATAAAATGAGCTCTAGCTCTTATCAGACCAGTAACAGTGTCAATGGTAAAGTATTGAGATGATTCCAAATCAATATCGTAACGTATTAACGCATTAGATCCTGAATCAGAATCAGTGGCTGACACCAGCAGTACTTCAACGTTAGCAGTAGTATTCTCATAGATACTGGCAGTGTAATTAGAGCCAGTGAATAGAGGAGTATTGTCATTGACGTCAATTATATTAATAGTTAGGGTAGCCAGGTCTTCAAGGCCCCCTATATCACTAGCTCTTATGTAATATTCTAATCTGCTAGCTGTTTCATGATCTGGTGATATTAGGAATGATACTTCACCAGTGGAAGAGTTAAGGGATACATTAGCAGAGGATGGGTTGGTCAGTAAAGTGTACGTTATGATGGAGTTATTGCCAAAGTCTTCATCAGTAGCATTGAGTCTTATAAAGACAGTTAGAGTGGAATAATTCTCAATAATGTCCACTACATACTCTCCAGTACTGAAGAATGGTCTATTATCATTGATATCAGTTATGATGACACTAAGAAAAGCCTCCACAGTGAAGACTCCATCATTAGCTATGACTCTCAGTTCATAATGATCATTGGTCTCACGATCAAGACCAGCTCCTGTCCTTATGACTCCATTACCCTCACTAGTAGAGGTGATATTGAACACAGTGCTGTTCAGTAAGAATGAAGTACTACCAGTAATATCAGAGTCATTAGTGCCTAGTGTTAGTATCAGTTGATTTAACTCAACATCCTCTGGTATACTGATACTATAGTGACACTGAGAGTCTATCAATACTCCATTGGTATCATTAGTACATATGAATGAAGGTGGGTTATCGTTGATATCCTGTATAGCTATGATGACTGTAGCACTAGACGAAAGAGAGGGGGTCCCTAAATCATAAGCAATGACGTTCAAAGTATACAGTTGCTGTTGTTCCCTGTCCAGTGTCCCTGAGACTAGCAAGGCCCCAGATACTGTATCAACGCTAAAAGGAGTATCACTTGATCCTAGTCTGTACTGTACAGTCCCATTGAGACCCAGGTCAGTATCAACAGCCTGTACTATAGTAACTGTAGAGTTGATGGAGGATCCTTCGGATATGATACTGGATATGTATAGTGCACTGGTAATGACTGGCCATTCATTGACGTCAGTAATGGTAATGTTGATAGTTGACCCGCCATACCTGGTCTGGAATGTAGGTGGGTTGGTTAATAAGTTAACTTGAACACACTGAACTGTAACAAAGAAGGTATAAGAGTCTGTGTCCTCTCTATCCAGCAGTCCATTCAGTGTAATGTATCCATTACTATTGTAAGAGAATGGTCCATTACCTTTACCAAATATGGAATAACCTGAAGGAGTGCATCCCTCGGCAAACGTTACATTAGGTTGGTAGAAGGGGCCAGTGGGTGTGTCCTCAGGTACCAGTAGGTAATACACAGGCTGTGAGTAGTATGGATTAGTGTCAGCTACATTGGTGATGTTTATCGTTACTATGGCAACCTCAGAGACACGCCCACCTCCATCGGTAGCAGTGATGTTAAAAGAATAAGACGAGTCGGTTTCATAATTCAAAGACCCTGTCACTGATACAACCCCTGTGCTGGGGTTAATATGAAATAAGTTAAAATGACTAGTTATAATGTTATAAGTGATACTTCCATTAATTTCTTCATCAGGGTCCCTGGCTAGTACTGTCAGTACCTGATGATTATTGTAATCGTCTCCTTCGGCTAATAGTGCCCCATACAGTGACTGAGTGAATGAAGGACTGTTGTCATTAACATCAACAACACTTATAACAACTGTTGCTGTATCAGTCAGTCCGCCCCCATCTCTAGCGATTATTATTAATGAGTGAGTGGGCGTGGATTCTCGGTCAATATTACTAGAAGATGTTGATATCAATCCAGTCTTTTGATCAATTGTGAATAATGAGCCAATCATTGAGTAGGTGATTTCTGCGTTAATATCACGATCGGAATCAGTCGCATTAACACGAATCAGTCCCACTCCACTGGGTGAATTCTCAACCACACTAGCACTGTATTCTGATTGGTTGAAAGTTGGCGAGTGATCATTAATATCATCAATATCAATAGTAACTGATGTAAATATAACATGGACCCCATCACTAGCACTGACATTCAATGTGTACTGAATATCAGTTAAACTAACATTTTGAGGGTTGAGTCTAAGTAGACCGTTAGTTAATAATTGGAAGTTATTGTCTCCTCCATCTTGTTCAGGTATAATGCTGTATATAATCTCATTATTATCGGCGTCCATTGCTCTTATAAAGGTCACCACTGTACCAGGGTCTGCCCCTTCTGATACACTGATGGGTGACAGTGGTACAAACACTGGTGGATTATCATTAACATTGGTTACAATGATCCTGAGTGAAGCAGATCCTTCCAGAGGAGTGTCTCCGCTATCCCTAGCTACTAGTGTCAGCTGGTAACTAGTCCGTACCTCATAGTCTAATGTGCTGTTAGTAGTAATGTCACCAGTTGATGGATCAATGGTGAAGGAGGTAGAGGGAGAGAGTGAATAGGTTACCTGAGCATTAGGAGGAGTGTCACCATCAGCTGCTTCTACTGTCAGTATAGTAGATCCTTTACTGATGGTCTCTGGTATGTTAATGATGTATGATGATTGGGTAAAGGAAGGTACTTGATCATTGATGTCAGTAATGGATACTTGAACTGTGGCTTGACTATACAGACCAGTTCTTATCTCTTCAGCCTGCACTGTGAAGGAGTAAGATGGAGTAGTCTCGTAATCCAGCCCACGGTCGTTAACAGTGATCACTCCTGATTCAGGATTGATTGAGAATGGGAACCTAATGTCACCGGTATCAGTTATACTGTAGAACAACAGTGCCCCATCAGTCCTAGGTTCAGCTAACAGTCTCACTACAGTAGTGCCAGCAGCAGTGTCCTCTGGTAGTGTAGCTGTATAGAGTGGAGCTGAGAAGTTAGGAGCATTTGAATTAATAAGAGTTAGTCTTAATGTTGTGTTGGAGCTCAGTTGAGGGTGTCCATTATCAGCAGCACCTATGACAACAGTGATGTGAATATCAGTAATGGCTGGGTCGATGGTTTGGTTGTAATAAAGAACACCAGTAGATGAGTTAATACCCAGTGCTGAGATAGGATCACTGATGATATAATAACTGATATCACTGTTATTATCAGTATCAGCATCACTGGCTAGTACAGTAAAGACATGAGACCCAATCTCTTGAGTATCACTGAGGTACACAGCATAAGGAAGACCAATGAATGTGGGGGCGTTATCGTTAACATCTGATATCGTCACGGTGACTGTCGTCTTGGCAACTCGTAGCATATTTGCTGAGATGTCTTGTACTATTAACACCAGGTAATGGACTGGAGTGAGCTCTCTGTCAAGAGAAGAGAGGAGAGAGAGGGAGCCAGTGGTGGTGTTGATCATAAACTGATCGTCATGAACTGATAAAGAATATCTAAAAACTCCTGGACTATTGAAATCAGTTATTGACGGAGAAAGGAGGAGAGAGGAAGGGGGTGTGTCCTCAGCTACTGATAGACTATAAGATGGTGGAGTGAAAGACAGTCTATTGAACCTACAATATGATATTATCAATGAAATATTAATAATGGACCTCCTACCCCCTCCATCAACAGCCCCTATCATTAGACTGTAATTAGACTCCATTTCAAATAGTTCCAGACCCCTCAAGTCACCCGTGAGGGGGTCAATATTAAACACACCTTCACCGGAACCCCCACTAATAAAATACCCCTGTGTGGTACCATTAGCTCCTCCATCAGTATCAGTAGCAGTGAAGCTATACAGCACTTCATTACTCAAGATTGGTCCACTGACCACTAGTGTAGACTGGTAGTTACTGAATATAGGATCGTTATCATTAACATCAGTCACTAGTATAGTTATTAAATAGGTACTGTAGAGTGGATGGGTGTGGCCATCATCTATTAATAATACGTTGAATTGATGGGTCTCCTTCTCTTCTCTGTCCAGCTGGCGTTTTAATGTACAGTGTCCGCTAGTATCAATATCAAATATCGTGTCAGATTCAGAATCAAGGATCAGTATTGATCGTATGCTACCATTGTTACCTTGATCAAGATCAATCGGGTTAAGATCAAAGATGATTTGATTTGATACATTAGCATCCTCTGATACAAGAAACGTAAGATTAGACACTGAGACTGAAGGATTGTTATCGTTAATATCAAGAACACTGATCAATACTGATATATCAGTGTAATACTGATGAGAATAAGATCCACGGACAGTTAGATTATAATAATCAACAGTTTCCCTATCCAGTGGTACCAATGTCCTAATGGTACCAGTGTATCCCTCAATGTAGAAATGACCGAGGTCATTGCCATTGACTATACTGTATGTGACTGGGTGAGGGGGAGGTGGGGATGCCCCTATATTAGTAACGTAATTACTGCTGGACTGGTTCTCATAAACTGATACTTCCATACTGTATAGAACAGGGAATGTGTCTATGATATTGGAGACTAGTATAGACAATGAGTGAGTGGAGTATGATGGAGGATTAGTAGAACTAGCAGCTGTAATGTATAAATTATAACTAGTGACGGATTCATAGTTCAAAGATCCATTGATACTAATGACACCAGTACTGGACTCAAGCTGGAAAGGTAGGTTAAGGATTTGATGAGAACCAGACAATGAATAAACTATGGAACTGCTGTTGAGAGGGTCGTCAAGGTCAAACGCTGTTACTATGGTAACGATGTCACCTAGCGACCTGTCCTCTGGTACAACCAGTGTTACTGGTAAGCCAGTGAATGAAGGAGGGTTATCATCAGTGTCTTCAACGTTGATGGTTACTCGTGTCAACTGCTCAAACTGGCCATCTTGTACTGAGACTGTTAGGGTATGAGAGGAAATGGTTTCCCTGTCAAGGGGTCCGGTCAATACCAGGACCCCCGAGCTGGTAATATTGAATAACGAGGGGGACAGGGGGTGAAGCCAATCGATGATAGAGTAAATCACATTGCTAGCAGTAACGGAATCAGAATCAGTGATATTGATTGATCCAATAACGTAATTAAGCAGAGCATCTTCAGGAAGAGAAAAAACGAAATTATCTTCACTGAAGTATGATGGATTATCATTAACATCAGTTAATGAGAGATTGAGAGTAAAATATTTATTATTATTATTATTATTGTTACTACCATCATTAATGGTGAAGACCAGTGTATAGTGCTGCTGTACTTCATAATCCATTGAACCAGTAACATATACAACACCAGAATGAACTGTGAATTTATCATCATCATCATCATAATGTGTTAGATAATAGAATAACGGCCGACCATCAGAACTGCCTGGAAGAGTGTAAATAACTGAACCAATGCCTACTGATTCTGGTACCAGAATGGAATCATTGTTGTTTGAAATCAGATCAAAATCAGTGTTAGCATCAGCATGAAATAGAGTGATGTTGATATTGAAATCACTGAACAGATCAACATTATTAGCTCTTATTGTTATGACGGTGCTATTAAAAGAGGGTGTGGTCGATAGAAATAGCTCTCCACTTGTAGGGACAATCCTAATCGGTGAATTGGGAGGAGCTAGTATTGAATATGATGAGTCAGCATTATTATTGTTGTCACCGTCGGTTACAAAAAGTCTAATGAAAGAAGTATTGAGAGGAAAGGAAGCTGGTAATAGTATGGTACTGAAATGAGGAGGGAACTCGGGTCTGAAATTATTAACAGTGACCAGAACCCTCACATTAATAACGGACACTGTACTCTCAGTAGAATCACTGGCCACTGTCCTGAAACTGTACCATTGTCTATCCAGAGTGCCATTGACACTGAGGCCACCGGTCGACCGGTTGATTGCAAACGGTAGGATCTCTTGGGCGGGAGGTATGACGTAATTGATGACACGCCCATCATGTACAGGTACATGTACGTATCCGAAGGTGTGGCCAGTAAATGAATATTTATCTGAGATAGTGTAATTATAAACTGGAGAGTCAATGAATACTTTATGATCATCAGTGATTGCTACCGTCAGGTTAAAGAGCGAGAATTGTGGGTGTGGTCCTGAGTCTGTTGCCATGACAACCAGTGATAGAGTAGGTGTGGTCAGAGCTGAGAGTTCTCTCCTAGTTACTATGGACCCGTTGGTCTTGTGTATTGCAAAATACCCAACTCCGGTCCCACCGATGATGTAATACCGAGGTACACCGTCAAGACCACGGTCTGGGTCCCAAGTTACCATGGTAACAAGGTGTGTTCCATTGGTTGCTCGACGAGGTATCGATACTAATGGAGGATTACTAGCAATAAACTGAGGAGGGAGTGAGTTGAAATTGATCCCGGGGAGGTAGTAGAGGTTATAGTCATTAGTACGCCCATTGGAGTCAGGCCCCAGTGATATGATCTTTACAGTTTCATTGATAGGGTCTACTGGTCCTAGTCTGTCAATGGATACCAGACCGTCAGTACTCACTGTATAACTGGTACCATCTCCTAAGAGACTGTAGGTAATGTTCGTCTCATCACGATCAAAGGCATGGGCATTAAATAGAGTAGCATTAGCGGGTAGTTGTAGAGGAAGGTAGACACTAAACAATGATGGTATGAACTGAAGTGGATTATCATTAACATTGATAACTCGTACATATACTGGACAGGTGGAGTAATGAGGAGGTGTTCCTCCATCAGCAGCTGTTACTATCAGCACAAAAAGATGATTTCTCTCATAATCAATAACAATGGAGTCCTTGGCCATTATAAGACCAGTGGTAGGTCCAATATTAAAATAAGAACTGCTGCTACCATTGATACTATAAGTTGTATCATTATTAATACTGTCACTGTCTATTGCTTCAATCCTACAGCCACTGCTTCCATTGTCATTCCTTACATCAGAGCTATCTTCTACTATGTAGCAATCATATCTGGGCTGGGTGAACACTGGGAAGTGGTCGTTAATATCCAATAGATTGAGTGTTACCGTTAGCAACTGACCCCCAGTGTCAAGAGGAGATGAACTAAGATCAGTGACGTCAAATACCAGAGTATAAGAATGAGGGTCAGTCTCGTAATCAAGAGGACGTGTCAGCCACACCTTCCCAGTAACTGAGTCGAGATAAAATAGACCGTGTTCATTACCGAAACGGATCCAGTAACGTAGCTCAGCGTTGACACCAATATCATGATCAGTGGCTGATATTGTGATCAATACTTGATTCGTGTTAGTAGATTCAGTCACATTAATGATAGTTCCATTGGAAGGAGATACAAAAGAAGGTCTGTTGCTATTGGTGACATGAAGTACTTTAAGATGAACTGGTACTGATGAAGAACTGCTGGTTTGATCAGTAGCAATCACGTTAAACGATATATAATCAATATCACGATCAAGAGTTGATGCTAGCGTGATCTGACCAGTAGAAGAATCAATATCAATGACATCGGCTGATCCTGATGTTGAATAACTAATGACATCACCTTGATCATAGTCAACAGCACGTGCCCTAAGTACCTCTACCCCCGTACCAGCGTCCTCTCTAACGACACCAGCGTACAGCGGAGTGAGGAACACTGGTGAGCAGGGACAGGATGGAGTGAAGGAGGAGGAGCTATCATCTTCATCTTGAATAGTGATAGTCAGTGTTGCCGTGGAAACCAGATCAGGACTGTTGCCAAGGCTACGGGCAGAGACGGAGACCCTGGCAGTAGAGGAGAGCTCATAATCAAGAGAATCATTCAAATAGAGTAAACCAGAGACCTGGTCTATATAGAATAATGGTGGCTCTGAATATAACAATGAATAATGTACTGACCCACTGCAGCCTGTGTTAGGATCTGAGGCATTGAAGTGATACAAAGGTAAAGACTGATTCCAATACTCTGATACACTGGTACTGGGGTATGGGTTTGAAAACACAGGAGGATGGGTATCAGACTCAGTAACGAGTACAGTCAATGAAGTATAGTCATATAAAGGACTTGGACCAGTATCACGTACTGAGACATTGATGAAGACCAGTCCAGGTACAAGGGACGAAGAATGGACACTTACCAAACCAGTGGATGGATGAATAGTAAACGACCCACTACCATTAACCATAGCATATACCAGTGTACCATTGTCACCAGCGTCCTGGTCCGTAGCAGTTACAAATAGGACATTGGTACCGATAGGAGACCCACTGGAGACACGCCCCTCATAAAAGGGGGAGGGGAAAAGAGGAGGGTCGTTAGTATCCGTTAATTGAATATTAATAGTACGTAGGATAGTGAGGGGCGGGGCTCCATTATCAGTGGCATTAATTAGAATAACATGAGTATCAGTGTATCCTTCATAGTCCAGCCTACTAGTTAATAATAAATTATAAACGGCAGTCAAACCAGTATTACCAGTATTACTAGTATTACTGGTCACGTTCACTAGTGAGAGGGTGAAACAGTTATGGCATGTCCTGCAGTCCATATTAATAGAAATATGCGAGGAATCTTCATCAGTCAAAACAAATCTAGCCAAAATGCTTCCAGTAGTAGTTGATTCAGGTACAGGAATGGTATCATTGATTATCTCATGATGACCAGTGAGAGGTTGTTGTATATCAATAGCTGGCCTCACTTCATTGGCATCAGTAATGAATATACTTATACTAATCTCAGTGGACCTCCTTGGGTAGCCACCATCACTGGCTATTACTGTAATGTTAGTAAAAGTGCTGGACTCATAATCCAGTGGTTGTGATAGATAAACCAGTCCTGTGGTGTGGTGTATGATAAAGCTAGAAGAAAGAGGATACAAGGTATAAGTAATGTATCCATTAGTATCATTATCAAATGCTGTTACCATAGTTACCAGTGATCCAACTGGTGATAGCTCACTGATAGTAACAGATGAAGGGACGTCCATGAAAACTGGAGAGTAGCGATTCCCACCCACAACATTAACGAGTATTTGAGTCCCTGATTGAGTGGGCATGTGATACAGCGTAAGGTTATAACTGGTTCCTATAGAGAGAGGTCTGGTCGTTACCAGCTGGAGTACACTATAGCAGCTGGCAGTGGTTATATTAATACTAAAACTGTCATTAGCATTCAGCAATAAGTATCCATTGGCCAGTTCATTGGATTCTGTTTTATAATCAACCAATAGAGGAAACCCGTCCAATTCAAGAGGAGCATTCTCCAGTCCTCCCACTGCCTCTCCTCCAACGCTAAGAGGGAGAGAATGGTGGACAGTAGGTAGTACATGGACATTAACTACCAGCCCATAAGAGTAACTATCAGTAGAACCAACAATGAAGCAGTTGTATGATGATAGAACTGGATACTGGTCTGTATCAGTACTGATGCACGTTAAGGGATCAGTGCTGGAATCAGCATCAGTGATATTGATTGATTCTTGAGTAAAGAGTAGCCCAGTACTTGATGTTACATTGAATACAGAACACTGAGTAGATGGTATCAGTTTATAGTGTAGATCAGTTCTCTTTGTTAGGAGGTAGAACTTACTGCTTATATTGTATATGAAGGTATTAATGGAGACTAGTTCAGTAGATTGTACTGGTACATGTAACTGCTGACTGCTGCTAGGTAGAACAGCCAATGAGAAAAAGATAAGGACTAGTTGTAATAGAGAAGACATTATCTTAAAGTTGCAGGAACAGGTTATAAAATAAGCAGGTTATTGTCTAGCAGGTAGTAAGAGCTCCTGGCATTATAGAAGAAATGAAGGATACAGTTGTAGCAAAATTGAGAGAGAGACAGAGATGTCTGCTGTTGCTGTAGCTTAGTTGCACCGTCAGGCTAAACAGGGAGTATCAAATTCCTTACAGTTTACATAAGATAGTAATAATGACACACCCCCACAAACACTGGGGACACCACACAAATGCAAATACTACCAACCACAAAATATAAACAGTAGATATTAGTATAATATATAAGCATTCAATGATAATAGCTATTAATATAATATATAAACAATGAATATAATAACTTCAGAAATTACTGTGGCCCAAAGGTTTTGCAAATATCCAGTTATTAAAATTTTTAAAGGATTATTAATTTTTATCTTGACATGTACATGTATGGTCCTATCAAACTATGAATAGTCTGGCTGCATGAGACTTATTGAAGGTAGAGTGTACATTATACATGTAACACATGTTATACATGTACATGTAACACGTGTTATACATGTACATGTAAATCACTCACAATTTACTTCAACCACAAGCTCCGACAAGAAGTCTCTCTTCATTTTAGCCACTTACTGTAACATAATAACAAATAAAAAACTATATAATTGGGTTCTCACCTAAAGTACCATATACGGAAGTATACTATACAGATTACGGAAAGCAGTGGCATAAGACAAGCAAAATCTGCATGCTTCCAATTGGACCTGTCCGAACGACGCCATTTTATAAAAGAGGCGTGATGCCCCACCTATTATTAGGTGTGGTCATACATTTTGTAATATTTTTTGTGGGCAATCGTTAAAAATTAACTAAAATTGCAGACTCAGCAAAAATGTCTTGATAAAAGCCACACCCATTTTCTCAACTCTCATACATCTTTATCTGCTAATTCTTTCTCTCCTCAAGTTGATATTTCTCTTTTTTTAATACTCTGGGCCATAATCTGCACCAGGCTACCACTAGGCACCTGTGTCTTGTTGCAAAAACGACCAGGAACCAAGTTTGGTACTACTGTCTCCTATTTTGATGATATCTCAATTGAAAAGGGAAAGAGAATGAATCTGGAAACAATTTTAAACAATGGAAGGCAGAAAGGAGCAAACAAGGGGCGAGAATCAAGTCTGGGAGGGGCTGGTCTTCGATTAGAAGTGAAACTACTGGCCCCCACTGATGAGAGGTCTAATGAGGTCTCCTACCCTCAACTGGTGTCCAAGAGGATTAGGGAACTGGGCGTGGCAGTGGGTGGAGTTGGACCTCAAAAACAAGAACCACCTCCATTTGGAAAAGTAGGAGGATATAGCGACCATGCATTCCTTGTATCCATTAGCTTTCTGCTAGTTGTATTTATGTTATAATCCGCTTTGTTTCAGCGTGAGGTCGTTTTGGAGGCATTTGGGATGCTTCCATTTCGGTGCCTCCTCGGAGGCAGCCATCTTGTTTTGCTACCCCGCGCGCTCTAAGCTTGTTCTAAGGATCATATCTCGTTTCTTAACAGGAGACCCTCCCTCTACTGCCGGGAGAAGACGATGAAGACCAGAAACTGGCCGCCATTGCGAAGAAATTCGAAGAAAAATACGTGAGACTTGCCAGCTATCTGCCTCATTAATATTCATGACTGTTTATTAAATTAATAAACTTATTTTAACCCTTTAGTCACTCTATTATTTTTCAATTTTTAGGGTGCAAGCACACAGGCAAGCTCTCTCCTCTTTCTGCTTCTTTATTTATTTGTTTGTTTGTTTGTTTGTTTGTTTTACAGGATCTTGTTGATATTGGTGAAGGTTATGATACTAATGATTCATTTGTTGATGACTCTGAACTAGTAAGAACATTCCTTACTCTGATGTATTCATTACCTTTCCTGATACATATACATGTACTTATGTTGTGTAGAAAGTTTGAGCTGATTCCGATCAAAATTGGATTTATAAATAATAATAATAATGACTTCTCTGTCTGTAGTATGAAGACTATGTTCCTCCTCAAGTTGATACCATGTTCGGAGGGTTCTATGTCAACACTGGAGAACTGGAGTTCACTAAGAATAAGAACTTAACCGAGTGAGACTTTAAACCATCTATACTTGCACATGGATGTATTTTATTATTAATTATTAATGTAGTTTTGGATTATCAGCTAAGAGCAAGGAAGAAAAGGTAATGATTAATTAAATTATTTTATTTTATTTATTGAATAGCCTAAAAAACGTCACATGAACACTCCTCAAGCAATAGCAAAGTAAGCCATCCTTTAATAACTATTAATAACTAGCCACACCCCTTCATTAACAGCAAGAAATTGAAACAGGCTAAGAGACAAATGGCTGTTTCATCAGCTCAGAGAAGTCACATTTTGAAAAAGAAACTGACTTTAACTTCACCAGCGATTGAAGAAAAGAAGCAAGCACCGGTTGCCATGGAAACAGGTCCTAGCCCACCTCTAATTATTAATGAGGAGACTGAATCTAGCATAGGAGCAATGTATGTTAATATAATAATAATTATTATTAATTATTATTTATTGTGTTTTTAGAGATAGTAAAACTACCTGTCCTTCATTGCCTGATGGACTGCCGCTAACATTAATTAATAAAATTAAGCAAATAGAAGAGGTACTTCTAATATTATTTGATTTTATTATTATTATTGACTCCTCCCTCTCCAGTCCCTCTCAGTGGATCATGCTAACAGTTCAACTGGTAAACTAACTTGTAAAGTGAAGACCAGTTATGATAAGCAACTAGTGGAGTAAGTCCAATATCTAATATGTACAATGTAATTCTGAAAAATACCCAAGGCTATAGTCCATGGTTTTTTCCAAAAAATGGCTCCGAAATCACCCCAAATTTTTATTACATTTTCTGATACATATTGATGTCCTTATGCTGTGTAGCAAGTTTGAGCTAATTCCAACTTCAATTTTTCAAGTTACGGCCAATTTAAGAAAACGGCAAAATTCTGAAAAATACCCAAGGCTATAGTCCATGGTTTTTTCCAAAAAATGGCTCCGAAATCATCCCAAATGTTTATTACATTTTCTGATACATATTGATGTCCTTATGCAGTGTAGAAAGTTTGAGGTGATTCCGATTTCAATTTTTCAAGTTACGGCCATTTTAAGAAAATGGTAAAAATCTGAAAAATACCCAAGGCTATAGTCCATGGTTTTTTTCAAAAAATGGCTCCGAAATCATCCCAAATGTTTATTACATTTTTTGATACATATCAATGTTCTTATGCTGTGTAGAAAGTTTGAGGTGATTCCGACTTCAATTTTTCAAGTTACGGCCATTTTAAGAAAATGGTAAAAATCTGAAAAATACCCAAGGCTATAGTCCATGGTTTTTTTCAAAAAATGGCTCCGAAATCATCCCAAATTTTTATTACATTTTCTGATACATATTGATGTCCTTATGCAGTGTAGAAAGTTTGAGGTGATTCCGATTTCAATTTTTCAAGTTACGGCCAATTTAAGAAAACGGCAAAATTCTGAAAAATACCCAAGGCTATAGTCCATGGTTTTTTCCAAAAAATGGCTCCGAAATCATCCCAAATGTTTATTACATTTTCTGATACATATTGATGTCCTTATGCAGTGTAGAAAGTTTGAGGTGATTCCGATTTCAATTTTTCAACTTACGACCATTTTAAGAAAATGGTAAAAATCTGAAAAGTACCCAAGGCTATTATAGTCCATGGTTTTTTTCAAAAAATGGCTCCGAAATCATCCCAAATGTTTATTACATTTTTTGATACATATCAATGTTCTTATGCTGTGTAGAAAGTTTGAGGTGATTCCGACTTCAATTTTTCAAGTTACGACCATTTTAAGAAAATGGTAAAAATCTGAAAAATACCCAAGGCTATAGTCCATGGTTTTTTTCAAAAAATGGCTCCGAAATCATCCCAAATGTTTATTACATTTTTTGATACATATCAATGTTCTTATGCTGTGTAGAAAGTTTGAGGTGATTCCGACTTCAATTTTTCAAGTTACGGCCATTTTAAGAAAATGGTAAAAATCTGAAAAATACCCAAGGCTATAGTCCATGGTTTTTTCCAAAAAATGGCTCCGAAATCATCCCAAATGTTTATTACATTTTCTGATACATATTGATGTCCTTATGCAGTGTAGAAAGTTTGAGGTGATTCCGATTTCAATTTTTCAAGTTACGGCCATTTTAAGAAAATGGTAAAAATCTGAAAAATACCCAAGGCTATAGTCCATGGTTTTTTTCAAAAAATGGCTCCGAAATCATCCCAAATGTTTATTACATTTTTTGATACATATCAATGTTCTTATGCTGTGTAGAAAGTTTGAGGTGATTCCGACTTCAATTTTTCAAGTTACGGCCATTTTAAGAAAATGGCAAAATTCTGAAAAATACCCAAGGCTATAGTCCATGGTTTTTTCCAAAAATTGGCTCCGAAATCATCCCAAATTTTTATTACATTTTTTGATACATATCAATGTTCTTATGCTGTGTAGAAAGTTTTAGGTGATTCCGACTTCAATTTTTCAAGTTACGGCCATTTTAAGAAAATGGTAAAAATCTGAAAAGTACCCAAGGCTATAGTCCATGGTTTTTTCCAAAAAATGGCTCCGAAATCACCTCAAATTAATGGGTGTGGTAAATCTACTAATTGTTGCTGATAGCGTGTGTTGTATATTGTACTCACTTCATTAAGTTTCTCTTTATTTCTAGTATTGATAATGACTGCAAATCACTTAAAATAAAGACGAGAGTCGTACGTTATTATTATTATTATTATTATTATTATTATTATTATTATTATTATTATTATTATTATTATTATTATTATTCAGACTGTGTTGGAGTATTTAGCTTATAAATTTGGTATAAACAGAACCTCATTAATGAACAGAATCAAACGAGTTTTGAAGAAACAGGAAGTAATAAAAAAATAATAATATTAATTAATCAATTAATTAATTAATAGACTGGTATTGTTGACTTAGATGCTGCACTTGCTCAATTAAAAGAAGGTACGAATTAATGATTAATTAATTAATTAATTAATTAATTGATTGATTGATTATTATTAGCTGTCAACTTGGCAATGCTTCCATTATTATCGAAATATAAAATTGATTTAGAAAAATACGAAACCGAGAGAAAACAAGTTAGTCACTTAATAACCAGTATTAATAACTAGTTTAATAACTGGCATTGATATAACATTAATTAATATTTCATTAGTTGGAGGACACTCCCACTCCTGCAGTGAAGGTTGAATCCCCTGGAGATGATGTAACTATATTCATTATTTTAATATTCTTATTTTTATTATTTTTATTGTTTAAAGCCTTCACCAGCTCCAGTTGTTGCTAACGGGAAAAAGTTACAGAAACCACAAAGAAAGTTTACATGGACCGAAAGAATTAGGTAATAAAATTTAGTGATAATTCTCATTGTTTTTGTTATTATTGTCAGGTTGCTATTGGTTACTGTTGTCAAGGCTAAAGTTGAGAAAGAGCTAATGAATAAAACAAGAACACAAACTGGAGAAGAAATAATATTAGTAAAGAACACTTGGAATAATGTTTAAATTATTATTATCAATTATTATTATTATTAGGAATTTATTGAAACTCACGTAAGACCACTGTGGCCTAAAGGCTGGGTCCAGAAGAAGTAATGACAATAATGATTATTATTATTAAGTGATTCTATTTATTTATTTTAATTTAAGGGCACTCTATAAAATGACTGAATCAGCACATTTCAAACTAACACAATCAGAGTAAGTTCTTTCTTAATGTACATCAGTTATAGTGTTATACACGTAATATTTATTATTATTAATTAATTTTAATTTTTTCGTTTAGTTCACAACTCAAGAAACCAGTACAAGGTAAGGCGTCTCTCTCAACTTCATTCTTACCTCTCTCTCTCCCTCTCTCTCTCCCCCTCTCTCTCTCTCTCCCTCTCTCTCTCCTTTAGTTAAAAAGGAGAAGTTATTAAAAGACGATTCATTAACTCAATCATCATCAGTAGTATCACAGGCTAGTATAACCACACCCACTACTAGTGACGTTAGTCTATCACAGAAAGGAACTGGCTCAACTACTTTAGTCAATACACCTCAAATATCTCAAACTAGTCCAATTAAAGCCACACCCACTTTAATTAAAGGAAGAGCGGACCTGACCACGCCCATTATAAAGACAGCCACACCTCCTTCACCTCATAAGAGGGTGGGGCTGGCCACACCTCCTAAATTAGTATCACCAACAGTTAATAAATCACCTCCAGTTGATTTCACTGATTTACAGACTAAGTTGAAATCAATTCCGCCAATTATCATTAAAGGAGCTTCGCCTATTGCTAATCTGGGCATGGCTAAAGGAGCTACCCCGCCCCCACTATTAATTAAAGGAGCTTCCCCTAGTGTGGGTGTGTCAGTTCCTTCATCGAGGAGTGTCATTACTGGTGCTACTAAGGACACGCCCTCTCATACTAATGTCATTACTAGTCGTGGAGTGACTCCGCCCAGTAAAGTCACACCTCCTAGTATTGATCCACGTCATAAAGTTGTTAAAAAGTCGGCTAAAGTCCAATCGGTTCAACTACCGAAACAAACTATTGATGCTTTACTGTCAGTACTTAAAAACACTAACTCTAGTATTTATACAAGCGATCTTGCTCAGTTGGTTACCGTGACAACTCGGCAGCAAACCACCCCCACCCAAAGGCCTGTGACTCTGTCTCCCACTCAGTCTTCATTACGTATTGTTCAAGCTCCTCCCCCTGCCACACCTCCTTCAACAATACCATCAGTCCACCCACTGACTGATCACTATTATGTGACAGGACCTTCTCCAGTTCAGTATGTACCAGCCAGTACCAGTGGAGTGAGTTTAATAACTAGTAACTTTATTAATAAAACCAGTAGCAATAACTAGTGTTAATAACTGGTTTTAGTAACTAGTATTGTTAATTCTTCCGAATAATAGTTAAATTTTATTATTGCATAATGTGTATTATTATTACTTTGTTGCTATTGTTATTAGTATCTTATCTTGTGTTTTTGTTCTGCAAGTTTTCAAAAAATTAATTATTTTTATTAACCATTATTAAGTGATAGATTGGTGGCAATAGAGAATACATTAGTAGACATTACATTAATAATTATTGTCATTACATTAAATGAATGGTTTTGGCTTTTCGAAGCTCTCGTATTTCTTCTGAACCACTTTCTGTTGAGCTGCAAACGTCATTGGTATCCCCTCATGCTGTGAGAAGATTCTCTTCTTTGGTTTCTTCTTTTTCTTTTCCTGTTGGGCTATGCTGTATTCGTTGATCCCATCAGCACTCAGTACTCCCCTCAGTATAGCCTCGGCTATAACATCACTGGCTGCTGGCTGGACTCTTGGCTATAGAGAGACAGAGAGTGCAATCATCAGTTAATGTATTATTCATGTGCTTACCAGTTGCTTTAATAAGCAGAGATATCCTTTATCATCTGCACCTAAAAGTGATGATAATATGTACATCTACATCTGATTCATGCTCCTTTAAAATCAAACCAAAGTCCCTGTACTACGTATATAATACATGTGTACATGGTCTAATTTTGCCAGAAACGAGAAGGTGATTGAGAATTCTCTATGACATTTTCTAATGCATATACATGTACTTATGTTATGTAGAAAGTTTGAACTGGTTCCAATTAAAATTCATTATGATTGTTACCTGATGTTGAGTCAATCTCATATTGATGTATCTCAGGATGACCCTCAGCCTCTGCAGTGTGACTGCTCAACGCTCCTTGAACTAGATCACTGTTCTCTACTGCCATGCTTGATCTCGTGAAATATGCTACATACTTAGCCTGAGGGAACTTGAGTGCATGACTCAAACATGTCTTCTGCTCTTGAATCAATGCTACCATATCTATGTGTTCTGCTTTGAGTAGCTGGGCTGTGTATTCGTCTGCAATGAAAATGAATTTAAGAGATGATGTACATGAACAAGTATACCTCCTTCCTGCATGATGTAGTCAATTGGATTGAGTATTGATGAGAGAGAGGATGGGACATTGCATATGATCAGACCAGCATTGGAGAACATTGAGTCAGTTGGATCAACATTAGGAAAAGGAACTGGTATCAGCTGTACATCTATACACAGAGCACAAGTTAGTAATAGCAATTAATGACATACTCTTCACTGATATTGCTGCTAAGTTGCTCTCAATAGTCCTTATGTTAGCTGGAGTGGCTCCTAACACAATAACTTTACCTTTCCCTTTCATTAGTGATGAGACATGAGCTGGTATAGTACCTATCATAACAGGATCAATAACAATTCTAGGTACATGAACACATCGTTGATTTACCATTGTCGCAGTTGGTTACAATGACATCACTCTCATACTCGCTGAGCGTGTTCATCTTGGAACCAAGTTTCTCAATTGACATGTAGCTTGTAAAGTCCTATATAATGAACACAACAACTCAATTTAAGATCTCTAATACATATTGACACTGTATCAAGAGGGCATAATTCCATGATACTGAAATCTATTTTTAGTATAGAAGATCTAATATAATATTATAACACATTAACACTCATAGCAGTTAATCTTGATAGAGTCTGGAGGATTTCTCTGCAAGAATCCTTTCATACTGACCTGTGGACGCACTACTGATATTGGTCCATCTCTCAATGTGCCATTGTACAATATGGAGCGACAGTCGGGAGAGAATGCAAGAAGATCTTTGGTGATGAAAGTAGCTGAGTTAGGAGTTGATTTTAATTGGGATTTCTCCTGTACAAAACTGATCCCTGCACTGTGGAGCTCAGACATAGCTAAAGTCCACTCCTCACTAGTTGGGAGGCAGCACATCCTCGCATACACTGGCACTCCTGAGACTGACATGTGGTGGGCCTGTTTCACTGGAGGGAGCAACTGAGCAAGAGACTGAGCTCCTTCAGCAATTCTCATTCTAGCTAGTGTTGCACCGAGCTTCACTCTATGACCCCAAAGAGCTTCAGCAACAAACCTCATGTTCTCAGGAAGGGTGTCACTTGGGTTAGGTGGTCGCTGACAAAACTTGTGCTTTTGAAAGTCATAGAGCATCACAGTAACCAACAGACCTTGATCACGAAGCTGGAATACGTTATAAAAATTGGAAGAAATCATTAGCAACTTAACTTACTTGTAAATATCTTGAGAAGAAGCTGCTCTCAATTAAGATGTCGTTCATAATTGGCTCATCTAGAGGTGAGTGTGAAATACTAATTTATAACTTCAGCCCCGTTTACACTCTGAGTTTAGAAATAAACCAGTTTACATGTGGACAATTTCAATGAGGTTTCAAACAGACTTATCCAAACCACCTCAGGCAGTGGTTTGAGATAATCAAACTGGTTTAAGTACTTAAGCGGCTGTATTATGTATGCAATGTAGCATTGTAAACCCGTTCAACCACAGTTACGTCTAGCTGGACTGACACAACTACGCTGGTTTCTGATTGGCATTTGCCGGATGTACTAGTATGGAGTGTAAACAGGGCTTTATAGTTTCACAGCTAACCCAAGCTACCATCATGCTCATACAACCCATTATGAATGTACACTGCCCTCAGTTTACTTACAAAATAGTATCTCTAATGATTCCTGCAGTACAATGACTTTCTTCAGTTGGTCATTAAATATTAATGATGGATTGACTCCTCTCTTTAGTGCAGACAACATCTTGTGTATATCATCATAACGTCTAAATCTTTGAGGGCAGCCTCCTTTGCTGGGAAAATTGACAGAGAGAGAGCTCAAATCCAAGTAATGCTTCTTGCTTGGTGTCGGTACATCGACGTTAATGTGGAGAGCAGGCCGTAATTCGTCGTATCGTGAGCTTGTAGCCATTCAACACTCTTCTATCGCTCGACTAACAGCTTCCCTTCAGTTGCAGTATCTTATAATTCAGTGATGTGTGACATGCGCCGCCGAGCACAGAAGTTTATTTTAATCCGGTACCCATAGCAACACGATTTGTAGGCGTGGCTAACAGCCCACGAGATTTTTTTTTCAATCCACTGGGGAATATTCGATCATTCCCGGTCCCTAGAGGGGAAATGATTTAATTTTAGATTTTTGGTTGCATTGGAATGGAGGGAAAGAGACAGTTATTATTATCTTTGTCTAAATTATTAAATGCGTCCAGAGCAGGTAGACTGGAGGAAGTAGCGAGGAGGAGAAGGCACGGGGTGAGTATTCTACTGGACAATATCCTTGACAGCGGGAACGAGAATGCAATAATAAGAACAATGGATGGGATGGGGGTCCAAACACTACACAGGGTCTCCTATGGGCCCATTACAAAAGCACATAATCCTAAGGAGACCAGAACTGACAGTGGGGCAAGAAAGTGGATCAGTATACATAAATGGAGAGACATTAACAATTGTATTGATCATTTGAAAACTACTGGAACAATGATAGTGTCCAGTTACTGCAGACCTGAAGTACACACACCTTTTCTACACGAGCTAGCACTGCCAGATAAACCAGTAGTATTCGCATTTGGTAACGAGACTGAGGGAATATCAGATGATTTATTAAAGAGATCAGACCTGACCTTTAGACTCCCAATGGTTGGATTTACAACCAGTTACAATGTATCAGTTAGCATCGGAATGTGTCTGTATCATTTGCATGTGATGGAGGCCAAGAGACTGGGAATGAAGAATCAAGTAAGTATTTAAGAACTTTTAAGGATTGTATGGTGGTTTAATTATGATCTTATTATAATTTCTAGTTAGGAGTGCAAGACAGCTCAACTGATAATGATGATGCTTTTATTGATACTCTATTGTTCTTTTATGAAAGAGAACTTGGAACGAATACAGTGAAAGAAATTAAAGAATCCATTAATTATGATAATGAATATTAACTGTTGTCATTATAAACGTTATCATTAATGATTACTCACGTATTGTCAATTTTTAAAAATATTTTAAATAATTTTATTTAGAAAAAAGACAAAACAAGGGACATGCTACAAAAAGAGACAGAGAATTAATAATTATTATTATCAAAAATGATGACACTACAATAATAACAGTATAATTATATCGATATACAGCAGTTGTGAGAAGTTTAGCTACTATGACAGCTCATCACACAAATAAATGTATGTAATAACAATAATAATAATAATAATAATAATAATAATAAATCAAAGAAGTTTTTTACTAAACAAAAGAAGGCACACCCAGTAACTATGGTTTTTTGGTAGAAAGGACGAGGGCGACAATGAGTCCGTAGAGACCCAAAACTTCAGCAAAAATGAGGATGAGGATCATACCAACAAAGAGGCGGGGCTGTTGGGCTGTTCCACGTACTCCAGCATCCCCCACTATACCTATTGCAAACCCTGCGGCTAGACCACTGAAACCAACGGAAAGACCAGCACCTAACTGGTTGAATGACCTGTGGAGAGAGAGAGAGAGAGAGAGAGAGAGAGAGAGAGAGAGAGAGAGAGAGAGGGGATTAATGTAGTAGTGAAGCCATTGTAATTGAATGAATGTAACTGAAAGTTTATTTAATAGGAGGAACATTGATAAAAATGAACTCACTCAAATAGAGTAATGTCCTTCTTCACTGCAGGAGAGAGGGAGAGAGAGGGAGAGAGAGAGAGGTGACAACAGTACAGAAACCAGTTAGACAATAGTTCCTTTTATTCATAAATACCATACAACATGTCTCACTCAATGGAACATACAAACTGATAAGAATCAACCTCAACGCCCACTCAACATAATTAAAATATAAAGGACGTCTACACACAAAAGTCTCTCGTATAATTACTCACAAGAGACCAAAAGCATAAAAACAAGACAATTCTATAACTAACTGAAATGAGTCGTTTCTAAGCAAAGTACATGTACATGTATTACTGAATACTGACTTGTTTAATATTAAAGACAACAAAATAAACAAGCAATTATCGGCAACAGGAGCTCCAATACAAACAAACAAATTATAATAAACTCACGTCCATTCCCAATCAGTACAGACACTACCAGTCCATAGATAGCAATGATACCAGCCATAACGACCGGGATAACTGACTTCATGATCAGATCAGGTCTCATGACACTCATGGCAGCAATACCAGTACCACTCTTAGCTGTACCGTAAGCAGCTCCTAATGCTGTGAGAGAGAGGGAGGGAGATGGTTAGTGGTGAGGTTACTGGGTCTTACAGCTAAAGATGATGGCGGCAGAAGCACCCATAGCTGCGAAAAAGGAAGAATAGACCGGGGAATCGTCTGAAGACATTGCTTGATACTAGTAATAAGGACTGGAATCAACAAGGCAAGAATAGGAAGATGGCTCGAGAGTCGACAGGGCAGAAATTGATGTAATAGAGAAGGATCATGTGATGGGTGGGCGGGGTCGCGCATGCGCTGTAGAAAAGTGGGTGGAGAGTAAACTTATGAATAATTAATGAGGTGACTAATTGATTGAGGAGGAGATTTCAAAATGGTGGGTGAGATTGTCTTTTTATTATTTGGATTTCTCTCTCTTTGTTTCATTTTAGGCTTCCTCAGTGTATAAGAGGGCCCCCACTACGGGGTCTAAAAAGAGACCAGGTATTATAGAATTTGAAATTTAACAATAATTAATTTTATAATCATAAATATTATTATTGTCTGTGTTTGCAGGTGCTAAGGTTGAGCTAACAGAAGAGCAGAAACAAGAGATAAGAGAAGCATTTGATTTATTTGATGCTGACGGAACTGGAACTATTGACGCTAAAGAACTAAAGGTATCATTAATGGACCACACCCACTACTGGAGGCAATTATCTATTCTTAGGTGGCCATGAGAGCTTTGGGTTTTGAACCAAAAAAGGAAGAAATAAAGAAAATGATTTCGGACATTGATAAAGACGGATCTGGTCAGTATATTCTTGCATATTCTAGTATATCTCAGTAATCTACAGGTACTATTGATTTTAACGAGTTTCTACACATGATGACGTCGAAAATGGTTTGAAAATTATTATTATTATTATTATTATTATTATTATTTTAATTTGTAGTCTGAAAAAGACTCTAAAGAAGAAATATTAAAAGCTTTTAGACTATTTGACGATGATGAAACAGTGAGTGATGTCATACTGTGTCATAATGAGTCACTGCCTTCTTCAGGGCAAGATATCTTTCAATAACCTCAAGAGGGTAGCAAAGGAACTCGGAGAAAAACTGACAGATGAAGAACTTCAAGTGAGGGACAATAAGCCAAGAATAACCTTGTACACCACATTATGCTGTGTGGAAAGTTTGAAGTGATTCCGACTTCAATTTTTCAAGTTACGCCATTTTAAGAAAATGGCAAAATTCTGAAAAATACCCAAGACTATAGTCCATGGTTTTTTCCAAAAAATGGCTCCGAAATCACCCCAACTTTTTATTACATTTTCTGATACATATTGATGTCCTTATGCTGTGTAGAAAGTTTGAGGTGATTCCGACTTCGATTTTTAAAGTTACGGCCATTTCTGAGAAATACCCAAGGCTATAAGTCTTGTGTTTTTCCCCATAATCACTTCCCTCTCCTCTACAATTCATATCACATTTTTCAATACTGTCTCTTTCTCTTTATGTGATTAGGAGATGATTGATGAAGCTGATAAAGATGGCGATGGTGAAGTGAATGAAATGGAGTTCCTTAGAATAATGAAGAAGACTAACATGTACTAAAGATACTGTTAATAACTAGCAACACTGACATTTTAATATATCTCACCGAAACACAATAATGATACTAATAATATCACTTATTATTAATAAAACATAATTATAATAGTTGTGTTTTATTAATTATTTAAGATGGGTGTGGCTAATTGTAAATTAGCCCCACCCGTTCAATATGGCGGATAGTAAGGCTGAAGCTTCAAGTGATGGTAAGTGTTTTGTGTGTGTTTCAAGTTGATATTGAGTTAGTGTCAGTTGGTTTTAAGATAATACTGAGAGACTATCAGCGGAGAATGGTCCAAGCTTGGAGGGACAGCAAGTTTGGAACTGAAGAGAAATACAAAAACCTCATTGAGGTACTAATTCCATTACATAATGTGAATATTAATTGATTGATTGTTAGATTAGTGAAGGGGATATCTTTGAAGGAGCTCCATCAGTTGACGCCATAGTAAATTAATGGAGTCTTAATTAATTTATTATTATTCTTATTATTAGGTTTCTCCTGCTAATAGTTTTGGTTTCATGGACGGTGGTATTGACATGGTCTATACAGTGTTCTTTGGATGGCAAATGTAATGAACTATTAATAACTATCAATAACCATTAATGACCATTAATTAACTAGGAGTGAGAGATTGAAGGAAGTTATTAAGTCGGAGCACAACGGAGAACTGCTAGTGGTAATAATAATAATAATAATAACGGTAATTATAATAATAATTTTATTAATATAGGGAAATGCTATTATCATTCCAGCCTATTCTCCAGACACTGATCTTGAGTCTCTTAAAATTGATTCCAGTATTTGTGAAGGGAAGCCTATCCACTACCTGATCTCAGCCCCCACCATGAGGGTACCCACTGATGTGTCTGACACTATGAACTCTTACCTGGCATTCAGGGCAGTCCTATTGGCAGGTTAAGAGTGAGGACAGTGTTTGATAGTGTGCTTTGTAATTGGGGAATTATTTTGTTGATTTACGAGTGCATCACAAAACTTTAGTGATTGAAATTGCCGATCAATGACTGACAAAACTGCAATATTTGATTATTTTGCATTAAAGTCGTTTGCAATAACCACAATAGATTACTAGAATATACAAGAATTACTTAGATTACTGATATGCATGTGTATATATACTTTTAATGACGTATTGTCATTGTTCTAGTTATGTCTCATAATAAAAGCTGTTCACAGAAAGGGGCGGAGCCAATACGGTCTGTAATGTGCCCAGGACTGGGTACAGCAGTAGGGAGAATGCCTTTTGTGAGGTGTGCTGAACAAGTAATAATAATAATTATTATGATGATGATGATGATGATGATGATGATGATGATGATGATGATGATGATGATAAATTCTTTTCCTCCTAAGATGGTAGCTGCATATGAGACTGTTGTGAGTCAGTCATTAGTTGAATTCATTAGTCCTCAGTCACTAATGGAGCCAGTTATTAGACACAGACACTTGATAACTGTATGTTAATTGATTATTACAGTACTCATGTTGTGTAGAAATTTTGAGCTAATTTCTGTCAAATTCGGTTTTTATATAAACTTTTTAATTTGCTCTAAAATTGGGCAAAGCCCCTGTACTATGTACACTATTTGACCGAATTTCAGTTATCAAAAATGACTATGAGAGAATCCCCTATTTTTATTACATTTCCTGATACATGTTCTTTTGTCCATCATTAGGTTGGGAAGGATAAAGCTTTGGGCAGTAAACCTTCTCCAGGGGAAATGTTTGTACCTAAGAATAACCGGACTGAAGACTCTGAATCTGATTGAACCACTTATTATTATTATTATTGTTGTTGTATTTTTAACAATTTTTCTGACCTTGAGTGATTTTATTTGACAAAATATAATATTATTTTAACAATTGACTTTTATAGAAAATAACGGAACCACTTCATTCACCAACATTTCTCATAGCCATTTTCACCCCATACATACCCTGTTTTAGGAAGTTTTAATTTGTACAATTCTAAGGTGTGATTATAATTTGCAATCACTCAGTTGTGTACTGTATCAGGGTATGTTGACTTGACAGTTGAAAATAGAGAAAATACTTTTTAATAATTAAACAAGAAAGCAGACAACCAAAAATAATATCAATAATAATAATAATCAATATTAGTACTAATCAATGTCATAAGGCAAGATGCATAAAAATGAATCATTCTTATTATTTGTCACATTTTAAATATTTGTCACGAGCTTCAGGTGACAAGAGGAACTTGTTGATGTCAGCTTCTACTTTTCCAAGCTGATTAGGGAAATTTTGACAGACTTTTAGAATCTTAGCCCAAGTGACGTCATTATTGGAGTCACTCCACCTCTGGAACACTTGAATGAGATTGAGTATGGTTAGATGAGGAAGAGGAGTGAGGTCAGTCACATTGACAGACAATCCAATACCAATGATCATATAATGGACAGCAGAATCAATGAACAACTTCATGAGATCATCTGTTTCTGGTATCTTGTCTAACAGGGGGTCTGTGAAAAATAAAATAATAATAACAACAATATTTCTTTACTTTCAGCTGGTGACTGATCATTAACTTGTTTTTGTGTTCCATTGTTACTCTCAACAGGTCCTATACACAAGTGATAAATTATAAATAATAATTATTAGTATACAGTACACATACCTTGTGCATCATTAAACCAGATACTGTAGTCATTGCTAATATCAGTAGGTTTACCACAAACTGTACAATCATCTTCATTTACAATACAGTAGCAGCTCTCATTGTAAGGGCAAGCAAATGCATTGACGTAATTATGCTTGAGGTGCATGGCATCACTGCTATTATCAATAGCTGTTGTGAGTAGCTTACGTACTAATGGACAGTGCTGGGTAGGACCAGTAAAGTACACTTCAATATGAGTGTAACGGTTGATGAGGTGAAGTGTGTGCTTTGATGTGATCGTTATCTTGAGGGACATGGCATCTCGAAATTTATGATAACC